ATCTATATTGTAAGTAGCCGGTTAAAATAATTTGTCATGGACACCCTGTCATAGCTTTCTGTTTTGAAGTATGTAAAATTATACCCTATTTGTAAAAATTTACGAAATGCGGTCCCAACGCACTTTAAACGGATATTGCAAGGAAAGGGCACAAAGTAACCTTAACAAGAACAACTTTTTAATGGCACTGCAGCAAATGCTCCATTTCAGTTGATTTACATGACAATGGAATGCCTTATTTTTTCTTCTCAATCCTTCCAATTTATGTCCTCCTGTGATACAGTTGGACTACAGTAAGTCAAAAGAATCTAGCTTAACTAGAATGGATTAAAACCTAGAAGCTAAAGGGAAAAAGGTGAGCAGAGTCCAATACCATTAGGAACGTGTTGGGTTTAGTTAGGTTACCGATATTGATGTTCCATTTCCCCCTTTCCCTTAAAAAAAGTATTACTAGGTTTTACCAGTGGGAATGGTGATGCTCTCAAGCAACTTTGGCGTGCGATTAATGGGATCGCATTAATCATTCGGTTTGCTAGTTGATTTGGCGTCGACTCAGTGATCTTAAATAAGTTGTCACACAAATGGCACTTCTTATGAACGGTACATAACACAAAAAAGGCATTCTTCTACTTTGGCTCCAGGGTTAGTGCAACATTTGTTTCATTAAGTGGGAGCGTTGACCTTGAAAAGTGCCCTTGATACTGCCAACGACTTAGGTATAACTTTTGAGGAAGGGTGAAAATTGAAAGACATTTCAAAACCATTTGCGACTTTACTTATATTGAGATTTAGACTATTAAAAGCCCCCTCCTAAATTTTTTATTTTTTTTATTTTAAAGCCACTAGTCTCTGCGTTAACATAACTTCAAAAGCAGTTTGTTCTCCATTCTCAGCCACCCTTTTTCGACACCGACACTATTGCGCAGCAGACCATTTCGTTTCAAACTAGAGGAAGCTTTTTGTTTTTTGGATTTAGCTTAGAGTTAATCCCATTATCGGCCGTCTTTTAGCTGACAGTCGGCCAGAATATACTGACTGCTTGGTTGAGTGGGTGGCGCCGATTCTCAAGGAGGAGTAAAACCCTTATCGTCTTTTAACACTTTGATAATGCAGGGACTTTTAATGGTAAGCAGTGCAAGGTAACTCCCCCCGAACTATTTTCCAGACTTGACTGTTTCGAAAATGGGGATAAAAAAGAAAATACGAAATTAAAGTGAAACATTTTAACTGGTAAATTACACAATCTGCAATTTTTCCTTTTCTTTCTCTAATCCACCATGTATTATAGGGTTTAGTGACTAATTACATTTTATTCCTTATCGCAAATAAGTATTACAATTTTCAGATGATTTTGAGGGAGAACGAATAAAACTATGCAAGAAAGTTAGCTCATGTTTTAGGTTCTAATCAAGTTGAGATGATTCGTGGATGTCATCGAAATTGCCCCATTCTACAAATGTACTGACAAGGTAATTCCACTTCCGGAAGGCAGTACCCCAACTAGTGATTGAAAGGATCAACCTTTATCTGGATCTAACATTGAGGTATACTTTCTGCAGTTGTGCGCAACTTTTAACAAAGGCCATTTTCGTGGCAGCTATTCTACGATTTGTCTTATCATGCCTCTCTATTTAAAAATGACTGCGGAATCCGCTAGCAGACTGACTTACTAAACCCTTTCCATTATCCTTATGCAAATGTTACGTTAGAGCATCATTGTTGCTACTCACAAAACCAAGTAGTACTTCACTCTACGAAAAAGAAGAAATTGGGATATCAAGGTAGGGTAAAATAATTGTATTAATTCTCCCGAATTTAGCAATCATAGATTATTTGGCATTAATTTCTATCAGAACGTATCATTTTAACATGTCGGCTACTCTTGCTGTTTTCTGATGGTGTGGTACCACTCAGCGCAAAAAGAGTGCGGGTGCCTTCGAGAACAACCTTCAATACCGAAAAAAAGACGCATAAGGAAGCATCAAACTAGACAGACATTTTCTATATTTTTAGTATGACCCATTAGACTTTGCGCTTAGACAAATTATGAATCAAATTTTCAAGTTGTCAAGTAATGTTGGAACCTTTAAAACCCTTCTAATAAATACTTGAATCTACTTACATTTATACTCATAGGCATTTTACTATTCCCCTTGTCGAATTAAGTTAGATTATTTAAACTTTAAGCCAGTCCGTTTTTACCCAAGCGTAACTTTAATTGCGATAGGAGTTTCAAGAGGAATTACCAAGTCATTCTATCAAGGCTTAATCTAGCCATATAGATACTTATGTTCCAGTGGCATGGCAAAAGCTCTAGTTTTTGTTATTTTGTCCTCCTTCATTGTATTTTATCCTTTACGTATACTTGAAGAGCTGTTTCCATTCACCATGCCTATACAGGGAGAATCCATAGCATCATCCTTAAACATTCAGTTCATTTTCCTCACATTATTTAAACGAGATGAAGTGACTGACTTAATTCAATGGTGAATACACTTTAACTGCATTTTATTAGCTATCCATTAGTTCCGTATGCTATCAACCACAAGAAGCACTGGAATGGAGTTGTGCTACCATACGGCGTTAATTATATGGTGGTGTGGCCACCTTTACAGCCATCTTTCTTCTTCGTAAATGAATGTGGATCCTACGTCTGTGTGTGATGGACATAAAACATGCACACTAACTGTTTGGATACAATCTTGTGAAGCAGAAGGTTGCATGAGTACAAATGCAAACGTAACCCTAATCAATGTTGCCTTTCCGGTCACCCGAAAGTAGATCGTAGGCAATTGAATACAGAATCAGCATTCTGACCTGGTCTCATCAACGAATGCTCATGCATCCATCACACATCTCCATATAAGTAAATTGTACCACAGGTGATTTGATAACGCTTTGAACGGAGGTCGACAGTGAGCGCAATCTCCACTTCGCTCGAGTTTTGTGGCTTGTAAATTCCCTTACCAGCATTTGCAATATAGGGTTAATCCTTAATTGTTGCACTTTTCGAGTCAACTCTGAGGTTCTTTACTGCCACGTCACAGTCATGTTTAGCTGTGATGGAAAACAAAGAAATCGCTTTCATTTGGACAGAGCAAATCATGTGCGAAGGTGTATTAAAGCCCAATGAGTAAGAATTTAGGGTATTTTTTACCTAAAGTACTCTTTTGTCACTGATTCAATGAAAGCGGTGGCAAATGGATCCGGATCATCTGATCATTCTCTCATCACTATCCTAACAGCCAGAGGCTATGTTTGGGTCAGCTCAAGAAAATTGAAACAAAAATCTATGTGAGTTCTTTACATTTCTCTATCATTAACGGAATGCCCAATTAACGTGGTCAAATTTGCAAACGCATCGTAATTTGTGTATACTGATTACTTTTTGAATATGATTGTAAATTTATTGTGCCTTTTATAGAGATCCACAATATGCATACCTTGGTTTATGGCAACACCTTTGAAATAAATGAATTCAGCATTTTTCTGGAAACTCGTTGTTCAGGGCTTACTTAATAGGGAGCAAATCAAACACTAAAGAAAAAGCCCCGCTGGACTGGAAGTTAAAAATCTCTTTATTTTACAACTTCTGCACCAGAATTCACGTGTTGGAGTGAAGTTTAGCGTTTTGGTGTATGATTACCTTGATTGATGTTATATTTCGGTTTCTATGTTAGTAAATAGCCCAAATATGCCTGTCTCTATTTCTAGATTTCGTCAGTTGCGAGAGTTCTTAGAGCCCACAGGTGCGACTGCGGCTACGCTTGGCTACGTTGTAGGAGAAAAAAGGCCTCAGAGTTGAGTCGAAAAGGACGAAAAAGGGAAGCACTGCATAGATCAACCCATACTGTTTGGATTCTTATGCATAAATCGGATTTATCTTTGCAATGGTTTTAAAAGTGGGAACATTAAACATTGCAACTCTGGCGTTCTACTGCATGTTGAATTGTGTACAAGTATACGCTTGTGGTGACAATAAGCCTGAATTAAGGATATCGACAGCAGTCTTTCATTAATTCCTCTTTGGAAAAACATTATTTCAATTTTACGGAGGACGGCAATTTTTTGAATTCGCTTGCTTTTTTTCTGGCTAAAAATACTAGGATTCACTAAAATACTGACGTAGGCTCATTTACTTACGAGAAGTCCTCACTTTTTATGATTTTTTTTGAATATCAGTCTAAGCACATTTGCAGATTTAAAATTGTTTTACATTATTTCATCCCTGGGTTTACTTGATGGTGCGCGCAAATGTAACTAAAGGCGATGACGTCGGATGGCCTGTAATGTGGCGCGGAAAATCCGTGCTCCTCAATGTACAGTGCATCAACGCATGAACACGGCATACTGTAGTGTCATCGCAAGCAGTGCTTTGACAAAAAGCCGTCTTCTTAGCTTTACCTCCGCGTTTGAATTGCTTTCAAGGAAAGGAAGGAAACTTGTCAGTGAGAAAGACATCTGTTGTCTAAGTTTGTATATAGCTTGAATTTGGACATGGCACGAAAAACAGTTCTAATTTGTTTCTCTATTTCCAAAAACTAAAAATGGTCTCATTTAGAAAACTATTTGTCATGCCTTGGGCCCAAGTTGGGAGACCTAGGTGAAGGAAAAGAATCCAAGTTAATGGATCCTCCCTTACCATCATGGAGAGCACTTGCTAGCTGACTGGCAAGTTTCCGTGAGACAATGATCACCACCACAATGAGAATATTTGAGGTTGTATCAACTCAACATATTTGCGACCATCTCATTAAACTAAACGCTGCTTTTTGTGGTATTACTATTAAGATACTATTCTAGACTAGGATCCAGGTCTTTATAGCTTGATTGGTACAAGGGGATAGATGGAGAATTCGTGGAGCAAAACAATGGAAGAGAGAGTACGCAGAATCTTCCAATTCTTATAGTTCTAGTGATACATCAATTGCGCAAAGGTAAATGCCAAATGAACATCCTAAACCAGGTGGGTACACATATTTTGGTGAAGGAATAGTAATGGGGTGAATGTTACCCTGTGGTTGAGACAAGTTTTAGTCACAGTAGCCGGTAAAAACTTAAGTGAAATCACACTAGAATGCGCATTAGGTTGCGGTAATTATTTACACCTTTGTTAATCCCTTAAGTAAATAAAGTAATATTTAGCCTTCTGCGAATACAACACCTTTGGTGGAACCATAACATGGTGCATGACGAACGACGAAGACAGCCCAGGGGCACAGTAGCAATACCTACTTAAAGCGATAGGAGACTATCACCTATAGGAGTGACATTTGCGTCTGTGCATCTAGTCAAAGAAGTATTCAGTACACACAATGATGCAAGCAAAGACCAGAGGCTAGTTACCAATGATGACTTAATTAACAAAATGATCAGCCGTCATTTCTCCATGGCGCTGTCTATTTGACATTCACACTCCATCGCCACCTTTAACACCATCCACATCACTAAGAAGGCAATAAAGTAAAAGGAAGAGCAGATTCGCCTAAAAAATAACACTCCTCAACTACATATAAGTGGTGTAATAGGGATACTACTTGCGTGCATGGAGCATTTTAGACCAAGTATCTCTACTGTTTGCAAGATTAATCAGGTATCTTATCAAAGTTGCGAAAGACGTCAATATGTCACCCTCCCTACTCGACGAATATAATCGTGTTTAACAAATGCGTTTGTCTAACCACATCAAAATATGAGCTTAAATGACTGCGAATTAGCACGTTTCTGTAAGCAAAGCGGAATCGTGAGGAAGGGTATATTTGAGGGGATTTGGACAAACACTATTACCAAGTAGCTCGAAACACATTTTGTAAAGTGTCAGTGCTAGGAATGGTATGTCATAAAAGAGTGCCTACAACCGATAGTAACAGAAGGATGAAAAGTTTGCTTTTTGCCTGACTACTTTGTTTAGATGAAAACGCTCATCCAACTGCACTACGAGTGTATGGAAACTGAGTTTGTTGTGATTGCTAACCTATCAGACGTATTGGTAGCAGTCCTAGATCATCTCCTTGGTCGCAAAATCGGATGCAGAGGCATCCACTAGCAAGAGTGATCACGTTCAAAGAGATTGTGCTCGTACTCACACTCGGGTGCAGCAGGCCGCTGTTCTCCGTAAAACTACAGAACTACGGACCTGTGATCTTTTCTGACAACTGGCAGTGTGGCGATTTGCAGTTTCTGAAATGCTGGAATTTTAGATACCTCATATTCTGCCTCTACGTAGATTTCATTGAACGCTTAAGTACTAAATGTAATGTTCGAAAATTTAAAAGATAACGAGATCGTGATCAAAGTTGAATTACGCCAGTATGTTCTCCGTGTGTTATATGCGGTCGTTAATTTCAATAGGATTAACATTTACCCCTTTCGCCTCAACCTTCATTTATTAGAAATGGTTAAGCTGATTAAATAAGTGGATTCATAAATGGCAGCGTTGTAATTCGGGCACGGAGATCAGAGTCATAAGTGTTCAGAGTACACTTCCCCTCAGATGTATTGGACCTCATTTCCAGAATGAGATTCGTGTTTACTGACCGTTCCCTCCTAAAAGATGCATTCAAACATGTGTGTAGTATATTTGTCGCCCCGTCTCTTGCTGCACCATCTCTAGTGCTCCCCTAATGTCTGGTCTTTGCATATGCCATTTGCTGTGATCATTTCTCCGTTAGTACGTGTACATAGGTGTACCTATGTACAGACCCATTTTTGTGATGAACGGTGATTGGTTGAATACAGAGTTGTGTCTAGCAGGCCAGATAGATTATTGAGGAGATGAACTTCATTATTCCATGTTCATCTTTGCTTCATGAATGATGTTAAAGTTGTAACGTAATATGGGTGGCGAGATAGGCATGTGTGGCTGTACTAGGTTTCCTTCTCAAAGGCGGTTATTTTGACTGCGTTTGTTAGGATATCTTTTCAACAAGAGGTATGACAGTGGGAAGTGTCTCCGCGCGATGGTGAAGGTTTGTCTCATCCCCTTACTGGAGTCGTTGTACGTACTCTAGAGCTTTGTAGGTTGCCACTTCTGCATTTAGGCAAGAAAATATGGGTTGGTGCTCTCAAATCACCACCTGCGAGTATTTTGAGCGATGATAAGCTTATTAATGAGATGACTGTAACCCATAATGTACGCAAGGCGGTACCAACCGAAGCTCAATTCCAGCCTTTCAGTTGTGTATCCTTATTGTAAAACTTTCACAAGTCTACTCAGAATAGGATAGGTTCATTTTACCACTGTGCACCGTTTCAGAAACTCCGTGTTAACTAATTCAGCTAATCAAAAAACCCAAGTGTCTGTTTCTGCGTCTCGTGTCTCCATTAGTGGTCTCAGCTACATTCATGAAATAGTCTGCCACAAATAGAATAGACAGTTTTGGCCTCTTGGTAGGTGGGACAGGATTTATGGTGTCGATACCTACCCTTTCTCCTGGAAGCGGTGCAATCGCCATGAAGTGAGGCCTTTTGTAAGCACTGCAAGCAACGCATTTTTGGCAGAAATCAAGTACTTCTAAGGCAAGCAAAGGCCATCAGAATCTTCTACCCGATTAACTCAGCATTTTCTTTTCTCCTACATAGTCTGGATGCTAGTGTTACTCTCAGGGCACTGTTTGTGCCAATGAGTCTGGGACACTAAGACCATCTCATTCTTTTAGAAGTATAATCGAACATTTCTGCCACAGCTGCCCATTCGCCTTTTTTGATAACGTCATCTCTTAATTTGTGAATTTGTGAGAGGAAGCAAGCAACACCTCGCATACAAGAACCGCGTTGAAACCGATACTCTGTGTATTTCTTTAATGATTTTTAGTGGGCTCACACCATCTGTTTTTACGGGGTGTGGTCTGCTGGAAGGGACCCTTGCATCACAATGTATATTTTACTTCCCGGATTGCTTTGTAAAACCATGCTTTTGCATTCTCCCGTATCAACGTGCAACATCTCACATTGAAGATCATCATTTCACTCTCTTAGCAGAGGTGCCTTACCATTTTGTGCAGAAGAACAGTAGTTCAGCACATTTTTAACCACCCTGATAAGCGGAAGAGGGGTTACTAAGCAAAAGGCAGTTTTAAAAACTAGTTTCTAAAACCATCTCTTGTAACACACCTCACCTTCATTCTTATGTGTTACGTGATATTATAGAGTGATGCAAAACACGTTTTGCCTCCATATCGCCTCTTTTTTAGACTGTGGAATGAAACATTTATAAAATAGTCGCTGTTACAACCTGACAAGTCGATCTTTCTACTGAAAACAATAGAGGGGTGATACACTCCGCTAGATTTCACTAAGTGTAATACATTTGTAATTCACGCATTGTATGGCAGTTAATGACAAGCCTACTGAACCGTGGAAAGCCATAGTTCTTTGCCTCGGTGGCGTAGTAGCTATTTGGGAATAATGAGGAAAATACTCTTACTGGCGTTCGTTGGTCCGTTTAGAAACTTGGTTATATTACAGTAATTTTAGCATGCAACAAGCAGATAAATAACCTCACCAGTAACATTCAACAACCTAGAGGTTAACGCTGTCACTAGGTGATGCAAGCAGATGTAAGATGTAAAATCACTCGAGTAGATAATTAATGTACAAAATGTTCTTTTAGAAAAAAGAAACTTGATTTCTGATGTAGATGTTTTTGTTTTAAGCATTATCGTCATTGGTGTACAGTTGTGCATAATTTAAAATAGGGTGGACAACTTCTTCTCTTTATTCACAGTTACAACGTTTAATTGCATTGCAGAAGCTGAGATTTTGAGAAGTCATTAAAACGAGAGATATACACGTGAAGGAAAACAATTGCGGGATCTGGGTGCTGACTAAATTCCTCAGTTTAAACACATTTCTTTGGTTTTTTCCTGCCACTGTTTAACCAGTCTCAGCTGTGATGGCACTTTGTTCTCATTGGTGGTTGCCATAAACAACGCGAACTAAAAGTAGAAACAAGCACCTTTTGTTCAGCCGTAAACATTGAGTTTAAAATATGCCACTAACGGACTCAATCACATACCAAAATATTTGCTTTGCGTTGTGACTCTGCCGACATATTCTTTGACGATGGCAGTCATCCTAACGCGTAGAAACAGCAGTAGTAGACGTACTTCAGTAAAGCACTGCGAAGATGAAAATATAAAAATGAGTCCCTTTTGGACCAAATGGGCTACGCCTGTTAGTGTTCGGTTTTGAGACCCTTCTAGTTAGGCTTGAAACATGTTTCCTGAAGGATGCCAAGGAGGCAACATAATATCCAACTCACTCATTTAGGGAATGTTGGTGCTCATCACGGCTTTTACTTTGCAAATTTCCATAAAAGGTTTAGTAAGATTTCACCCATATTAAAAAAGCAGGCCACCAACACAAATAACGCTTTGTTTAAAATTTGAAGTTGCATGCATGATAAGGAAATAAAGAGTACTAGCAGAGCTTTTCCCTTCCATACTCTTTAACTGACACAAATCTGCGCTGCTTCCCTGCTCGGAAGATTCAGACCATTCGTGACTGAATTAATTTCAGCAGCAACAAAATAATAATTCCTACTAGCCATTTTTATGCTCAGGCCTGATTATCAACATCAAGGCTTACGTTGAGTCACAGGGCAAAGTAAATGTTTTGGTATGTGCCTGAGAACACTTGTATGGAAATTTGCAAGCCACAAAAATAGCCGATTAACATGGAGACTACGCCTGCTATAAAACACCACTCGAAGTGGGATTAAAACCATATATGATATCATTGGATGAGTGAGTATTTGTGGATGAGGAGTCAAAACACTGTTCCTGTGTTTATTAATCCTCAATCGCCGTTCAAAAGATTGAAAAGGCAACAATAATCGCGGCTAAACGTGCATTTGTGTTCATGCTACCTCATGCTCTACGGCAGTGCATTCAAACGGTCACTGCACATCGATCAAGGGTCTAGACAAAGGGTGTAAAATCATCCATGAAGACTAGTGGTGGTTTCACACATGACTCCAACTCCACGCGGATAATGCAGTAAACCAGATCAATTCACACGCCTCCAAGTTTATATGCACAATTAAGCAAATAGAAAGCTAATGAAGTCTGGTTAAATTGCATTCACTGTTTCATCAAGTCAGTTTATCTGCATTATCTGAAAGACTTGGGAGAAAAGATTTGCAAATTTGAGGATGACACTAGGGGTTCTTACTTGTTGGGTTCTGTTTGCAGTAATGGCAGTCCAAAAGCACTTAAAACATATTACAACGAAAGAGGATACAAGTAACGACATCAGCAACATCTCTTGAGGTATGCTGAGGAATTCACAAGTCACCATGAACTTGGGACTATTATCAAAGAGCATACCACCTACATAAATGTCAAAGTGTCCAAACAATTGGACATTACTAATCAGAAATTGCATTTTTTGATAAATAAATATCAAAGACTCACGTGAGTCTTCTTATTCATATCCTTACTTAGATATATTTGCAAAATCCGGTTGTTGAGATAAGCTAGCACTCTGATCAGAAGACCCAATTACCTTCTATACTACATTCCCCATAGTAATAGCGAAATAATACTGCGAATGAGAAAGCCTAAAATAAAAGTGCCAAGGCTTATGTACCCTTTTTGGTGATTCCCTACTCTATTCTTTGATTCCCAACATGCATTCTATTTTTATGAAATAGACCTGTGACATCTGTTTAAAAATTGATGTCAGAGCCATGAAGCAGTGCAAATCATTTGTTATGGGCTTGAGTTGATTGATGCTACATTCCACTTTCAATATTCGCGGTTTACTTAAATGCGTCGTTAGCTGCATTATCCCCAGAGCGCACAAATCGTCATTACGGCTATGCTTAGTTACGCAGTGGGAGGGAAACACCAAAACTAAGCCGAACAGCTAGAATTCGGCATCACCTAAGGCACTGCCCTATGCATTTCCGTAGGGTTGCAATTCGCTGATGATTACGCTCTAAAGCATGATCAATATTCAGGTAGGACTTGATCCTGCCTCACTGAGACAAAGGAAGTAAATTACATTGATAACTTTTGCGACTTCTAGGATATCCACGGAAATTGATGCAGATCCTGAGTTTGGAATACCCATGCTTTAAACAACACCTAAAGGGAAATAATCCAAAGTACCATTTTAAGACTAATTTCCTTTTTTATATCATTCTAGTGAACTAACAATAATTGAGTTTCGCTTGCATTCCATTTGTGCACCAAGAAATCTAAGCACGAAAACAGGTGAATGGGTTTGGTGTTGCAGCTACGTGCTAAGCTAACTTGTGACAATACCGATAACACTTAGTGTGAGGTGGCTATCAAACGAGCACACTGACCATTTGGATGCACTGTAGTGGAGCAGGAGGTATCATGAAATCAAACGCGTGTTTAGCTGTAAACAACGTTTCCGTTCAACTGCTGAATGGTGATTGTGGCCAGCCAAACACAGGGCTGGCGCTCTGGTCTGTTACCGTATTGGAAA